GGCCTGAGTTTCCTCTGCTCACCTAATCCCTTTGGCTGATTGCTCTTCTCTCTGGCTTCCTGGCTTTTAATCCCCTTTCTCCTGCTCTTCCTGCCTGCTACTTTGGGCGTCCCTGAGTTGTCTCTCCTCCCCTGTAATCCTGGGGCTGACTTGCTCTTCTGTCTGGGTTCCTGGCTTTTATCCCCTTTCTCCTGCTCATTACAGAAGTTCATATGAGCATAACATGGCTGGATCAGAATTTAGAGCTTCATCGCTTAGCCAGTTTCTGTTCTTGTTTCATCCCATTGCCCCGAGCCACCATTTACACTTTTTTCCTACTAGAGTTTTGGAAGCAAATGCCAGACATCACAGCATTTCACCTGTAAATACTACAGTATGCATTCCCAACAGACAGGGATTATTTTCTGACAGTATAACTACAATACTGTTACTGCAGTCAGCAAAGGTAACAGTAATTCCTTACAGCATCAATCCTTAGTTTGGTTTCATTTTTTTTCCATTTGTCTTAAAAATATCTTTTTACAGTTAACCCCACACTGAACAGTAAGAAGTGTGTGAGAGGTCGGAGTGGCTGTGTTCAGGAAGGTGAATTCTCTCTGGCCCTCCTCTTCTCTTTACATGTTGCTGATGTCTCTGAGTGGCTGCACCTTCCACCCCTTGTCACAAATGGGAACAGAGTCCTTCTTGACATCTTGTGCTTGCAGATTTCCCATCCATCTGATGAGCTGTCGGGTCCTCTCAGTTGTCTCTTGAGAATTACAGTCCTGTGTTCTTCCCCTCCCTGTATCTCTGCTGCAGTGCACCCAGACTTCATCTCTTCTCCACGTTTTAGTTTCCTCTTCCCTCTGCCATTTATTTCTTGGTGATGCTTCTCTTTGGATCTGATATGGTTGGTTGATCCAATGAGTGCATACTCTTCTGGTATTATTGTTTACCTTGTAGTAAGCCTGTCTATCGTTTGACTGAAAGGAGCACCACAGGGGTGAGTTCATTTTCTGGTGGGGAGGGTGTTTAAAGGCCATAGTCTCAAGGATTCCACCAGTCTCTGTCAGACCAGTAAGTATGGTCTTTTTTATGATTTTGAATTTTGTTGCACACTTTTCTCCCACTCTTTCTGGGACCTCTTATTGTGATCCCTTT